AACTAGATTACAAACTAATAAACTTTATTGATGAACTTGTGTCACCTATTAAAAAACTCACAGAATTAGTAGTAGTCTTTTCAAATGCTATATTGTTCAAAATACGAGTTTTACTACTTTTAAAGAAAATATTTCTCTTCCTTTTAAAATGATAGCCAGCCCCTTAACATTAAGTAGGAAGAACATAGCCAAATAATTCCAAGAAACATTTAATCATACATTATATGGACTTTACTACACTTTTTGTGATCCGATATCTGAAAGGAAACAGATCCACAAAGAAAATATTTGGCCCTTTAAATAAATAAAGTTTTACGAATCTTCTCGCACTTTATATTCTCCATTGAGTAAAATAGTAGGATTCAAATTTAGGACTGAATAATAAAGATGTGTCTTTTTATACGAGTAGTATAGTTTTGGAAGACACTGCTCTTTTATAAGCTAATTGTATTCAAAGCAATAATATATATCATGTTGTCTCTGAACTTCTAAATGAAGTTATGAAAGCCATATCATATGCATTTAAATAAATTAGCAGAATTGGTTTGTGATTCAGAATTCCTATGATCCTAGGTTCTTAAGAGAGGGAGAATATGCATTTCATTATACCGTTTTCGAATCACAGAATAAGGTAAACTATTAAATGTTCACATCCTTTTCAGCCAAATGTTTGGACTTGGCATTTCAAATTTATACTTTAGGGGATCTAAGACATTTATTTATTTATTTATTTTTTATTTTTTTGCGACAGAGTCTCACTATGTTGCCCTGGGTAGAGTACTGTGATGTCACAGCTCACAGCAACCTCAAACTCTTGGGCTTACACAATTCTCTTGCCTCAACCTCCCAAGTATCTGGCACTATAGGCACCAGTTGTCATTGTTGTTTGGCTGGCCCAGACCGGATTCAAAACTGCCAACTTTGGTGTATGTGGCCAGCACCTTAACCACTGTGCTACGGGTGCTGAGTCAGATCTGAGTCATTTTTAACAATAGACAAAAGACAATAATAATAAACAATAGTCTCGTGAGAGATCAGGGATTATAGAGTATTTTGGGTCTCTTAGTGTTTGATACTTCTGATCTCCATAGTGTCCAATCTAAGCCTCCTCTCTGATTTGCATGTAAGAGGAAAACGCTCTCAGAAATAACTTGGTTAGCAGTAGCCAACATTAGACCTGAGTGAGATATATGGCAAATTGAAGAAGCAACTTAAGTACCTATGTCCTTTTTATCCAAAGGATCATCGTAAGAAGCTAAGCATTAACTCTCAAGAAAAAAAATATATACATCTATCCTGCACCAACAAACACACATACCTGGGAATTATCAAAATTGGGAGGAGTAGCAAATGTATAAATTGTATTAATTTTTCAGATTATCTTTGTTTTATGGAGTATAATATTAGAAGAAACATGATGGAAATTGAATTTATTATGCACATTAAACTATCTATAATGAATAGAGATTATCTGCAGAAGTACTTAGATTGCAAAAGTGAGCAGGGAATAACAAAATTCAATCTTAATTGAAAACATACAAAATAAACATTCAAGAGAAAGGAAAACAAGACCATTAACAAAGCTAAACTTTTAAAAAATAATTTTTAATATATTTTTAACAGACTTTTATTTCAAAAGAAATATAAATGCATTATAAAAATAAGAAAATACACATTAGCAAATCCAAAAATAAGAGCCCCAGCACCAAATCATGCCACTCAGACAACTACTATTTGGTATTGTAGTAAACATATTTTTTTCTTATTGTGATTCTACTGTTTTGTAAAATTCTTCTCAGTTTATGGTCCATGTCTTCCTATGGCAGCAAATTTTCATCACATCTAATGCCAAATTCATATTTAGATTTATCAAGTTATCTCCAAAAAAGACTTTATAGATGCTTTGTCCAAACCAGGACTGGATCCAGGATTGCACTGTGCATCCCGTTGTGTCTTAGTCTACGCCAGCACCTTTCTTCATGGCATGCACTTTGTAAAAAGAACCTGAAAATTGTCTTATAGAATGTTCCCCCTTCTCAGTTTCACTCATTGCTCCTTTGTGGTTAATGATTTCTTTTTTCAAAAGTATATCTGTGGGAATATGTAGAATTTGGCCTCTAAAAATGTTCAACCAAACATTAATGTGTGGGCAGTGCCTATGGCTCAGTGACTAGGGCACCAGCCCCATGTCCCGAGGCTGGTGGGTTCCAACCCGGCCCCGGCCAAACTGCAGCAAAAAATAGCTGGGCATTGTGGCGGGTGCCTGTCATCCTAGCTACTTGGGAGGCTGAGGCCCAAGAATTGCTTAAGCCCAAGAGTTTGAGGTTGCTATGAGCTGTGACACCACAGCACTCTACCAAGGGCAACATAGTGAGACTCTGTCTCAAAAAAAAAAAAAAAAAATTTGTGATTTAAAAAAAAAAATGTTTAACCACTAGCCACCAGGGATAAGGTATGACTTTTAGGTGCAGAAATTGTAGTTCTTTATTTCTTTCAGGCTCTTTGTACCTCTTACATTCCTGAGGAATGGAAAGAAAAGAAAAGAGTAGAATAATGCAAATCCTACAAAGGAATTGCTGTGGAAAAACATGCAAGTAAATGGTGACTAGTAAAACGGAAATACTGTCTCTCGAGGTTTTGAATGTTTTATTTTGACCACTAAACCCACCTAAAGTAGTAATGATGTGGCAATTGATCTCCACTGAAATAAGATGAAAAGAGTTCTTATTTTGCTCTATTGGAAGTTCTTAAATAAATAAGCAAGCAAAAACTAAAATAGAGCCAGGGAGTGATAGCTCATGCCTATAATCCAGCACTGTGGAAGGCTGAAGCCAGTGGATTGCTTGAACTCAGGAGTTCAAAACTAGCCTGAGCAAGAGCGAGACCTCTATCGCTAAAAACTAGCCAGGCATTGTGGCGGTGCACCTGTAGTCCTAGCTACTTGGGAGGAGGCTGAGGTATGAGGATCTCTGAGGTATGAGGTTGCTATAAACTATGATGTCAAGGTACTCTACTCAGGGCAACAAAGTAAGACTGTCTCCAATAAATAAATAAATAAATATATAACAAAGTGAGACTCTGTCTCAATAAATAAATAAAGTGAAACTGTCTCAAATAACCTAAACCAAAATAGAGTACATGTTTTAGTTTATATTGACTTCTTTTCACAGATACATATCTATTATTTTGAAATATAAATAAGCAGAGAAAGGTTAGAGTTTGTTTACAATACGCAGTTAAAAAAACAGACACTACTCTCAATTGTACATAAATTCTTTGTAGTAAAAAGTTGCACTGAGAAAACAAAAATACAGTCCTCTCTATAACAGTGATTTATTAGGCATTTGAGCTGAAAATTATGCCCTGGATTGAAAACCTAAAATATTTTCTAAAATATATATTTAACTGGCATACTCAAAGATATGATATTACCCAAATGAAAATGTATCACTATGTTGAGTTCATGTCCATACTATGGTTTAATTTTCTCAGCATAGACTTTTATGTATTTAGAAAAATCCCATTTAGAAAAATCTAGTTATATTATAGCAACATTTCAGTATGCTTTAGTATGTTGAACTGTTGGGAAACAACCTTTAGGATGAACTTCCCTTTTAAATTTTTCTGCAGTTTTGGATGACAGTATAACAGTCCCAATCTTTAAAAGACATGACTTCATTCATGGTAGAAATTATACAGATTATTTTCAAGAGCTGTTTAAAATTTCAAGATCTTATTTAGGATCACCCCCTGTCATTATTTCTGATCTATCTTTGAGCAGATGTTTATATTGTAAAATAAAATATTTTTTTCTAGAAGAATGTAGCCATATAGAATAAATTCTTCTAAAATAGACCCACTACTGTTATATATAAAATGCTTCCTTATAGAAAGTATGATCATATGGGGAACTATTTTTTAGTTTTAATATCAATCATGGCATCATGGTCAAATATTTGTAAGGTAACACTTGCATGCTTGAGGTTATTTGCTATGGTAAAAGAATTTAATTTATTTCAGTGTTCTGATCACTGCAACCTCATAGATACTGTTCTAATCTATACTAAGAAATTAAAATTATCTATACTATACTAAGAAATTAAAAATTTTTGGTACTGTTTATATCTTTTTATGTAGTATCTAATGTGCAAACTTCTTTTATGGGAATACAATGCTTAGACACACTTTTGATAATAATATTTACTCCTGTAATCCTCACTCTGAAATCCTGAACCTGTCTGACCCAATTCCTTATCTTTCTCCTGCCCTTTATCCTATCCGAGTTGCCTCATGAGTTTCAAATAGCCCTTTGGGCAATAACAGTTCTTCCGTTATCACCCTCTATTGCAGGTGTGGGGTTCACATGTGTCCAGACTGTTCATTTTTACTTCAGAGCAGTGGTTCTCAACTGGGGTGAAGTTGATGGATCTTTGACAATGTCTGAAGACATTGCCATGGCTGGAGGATGGGGTGCTGCTGGCATTTCGCAGATGGAGACTGGGGGTGCTGCTGAGCATCTAAAATGCATGGGACACTGCCCCACAACAAGCTGGGATCCAGTCCTCAATGTCAATAGTGCCACTGTTGTGAAAGTCCACCTTAGAGAAAACGCTGAAGATAAAATTATACACCACGGTATCATTCACGTGGATTTTGCATTTCAAAGACGAGAGTAAAATTTAAAGAATTTTAAATGCTTCCATACCAACTCCTCGGCACACGCTCTTCCTTTGGTTACCAAGCTTTACATTTTCTTTCTCAAATGGCATGTCGTGGCTGCTCATACCAGAGACTAGTTGTACGTGCATGGTTTATTATTTTTAGAAAAGGAAAAGGAAAGAAACAGTGCTATAGATTTTACTGTAGGAAGTGTTTGGTAGAGCCCCAGCGTGTGGTATTTGCTGTTATCTGAGTAGATTGGTAAAAGGTGGATACTGTCTCGTCCAGCTGTCTTGCCACTTCTCCGTCTTCATACTTTTCTTTTTCCTTCTGGTTGGCAGAACTCCACTGATTGCGGCCGGGGTCATTGGAGGGCTCTTCATCCTGGTCATTGTGGGTCTGACGTTTGCAGTTTATGTCAGAAGGAAGAGTATCAAGAAGAAAAGAGCCTTGAGGAGATTCCTGGAAACAGAGGTGAGGTGTTCATTTCTCCTTTTCATGGGGTTAGGGATTTTCATTGGGTTTAGGTTTAGACAATACTTGGTATTTTAATCCAAGCAAAATTTTGTTCAATTTCCTGATGAGGGTTTTATTTTATAGTACATTAAACAAAGCTGATGAAAAATCATGTTATATAGTAAAAGTAGTCAAGGCAGTTTTATGACTTCAAGAAGGTAGATGGCAGG